ATTTCTAAATGATTTATATCCAGAAAAAAGAAAATTATAAGAACACAAGAAAAATTAAATAAAAAACTTAGCAGCATTACTTTGACAGTCATTTGCCCAAATACACAATTATATATATATATATATATATATATATATGTGTGTGTGTGTGTGTGTGTGTGTGTGTGTGTGTATATATATATATATATATATATATATATGTGTGTGTGTGTGTGTTTATGTTTGTTTAAACATGTTTTATTAAAGTGATCAAAGAATATCTGTTAAGCCTTTTGATGAGTTTTTCGTGAAGTTGATTAACTTGTTTGATGATAGATACAAAATTGCAAAGGGACCTGACCAGTTTCAGTTTTTCTGTTTACATATATATATATGTTTGGTTGAATAATCAGGACAGATTATGTTTATTTATTTTTATTTTAAACCTTTCAAATTCACAGATCAATTTCTTAATTTTCCATTAAATTCATTAAGTAAGTTGGCATAGTTTTTCTCATTCCTTTTATTTTCCCAAGTACTTTCAATCTCATCCAAGATCATCTTCAGGGGTGAATTGCTAAGATGAAAATTATTGTAATTGATAGTTGTGAATTTTTTGTAAATGTGCATGAAACATGCTCTGTTGATTCAAAAAGTTAACATTATCAAGGGAGGTAACTTAATTTATATTTGTAAATTTTTTTAAAGAATTACAATTTTAGTATAGGAGAACAAACTGATTGCTCATCTTCTCCCTTTTTGGTCCAACATGTGGAAGGTTACACACTTGCAACAAACACTGCTTGACATTACAGGTAAGTAATTTGTCCTTGTTGCCGGGAAAGGTTTTATACCCAATGAAACAATATTTCACTTAAAAAAACAAAAAAAAAAACAGTTGTACTCATTCGCTGATAGAAGGAATTATGGTCAGAAATGAATTATCTTTGCTGGACAGCTCAAAACCCTGCATGCACTGGGAAAACCAAGGCATTGTCAAGGAAGAAAATTAAAAAGCAAAAAAAACCCTCACCACCTCTCAAACGGCGACCTGGCTCATTTCTTTGCATATTACTATCTTTTTTATCTTATTTTCCTTTCTTCCTTCAAACTCAAACAACTCCTCAATGCCTTCTGATCTTTTTTGTAGAGCTCCGTGGCTTTGATCTTTTCATCCATACCCAGCTTTTTCTGCAGATTCTCACTCCACATTGACTTAGGGTTCTGCATAAAAATCTTCTGCAAAACCATAATATCTGATTTCAATCGGAAGACAGGTAGTCCGCCATTGGTTAGACCTGCATTTCTCTACAAGCTCCTGGTATTTTTCGAGCTTTCTTTCAAAGGACTCTTCCAAATTCTCTTCCTAAGGTACTGTAAGTTCAAGCATTACAATTAGCCTGGAGACACTTGATCATATTAAATTTGGGTGCAGGGAAGATGTTACTATCTGCGCTGGGAAATTTCAGCTGACTCCCAAGATCTACACTCAACTGATGGTTTATGCATTGAGGGTGTTTTTTTGATGGCTTTGACAAAATTAATCACCTTTGTTTCAGGTTTGAAACTGCCACTACTTTGGCCAATTTCTTAAGTACCCAGTCATGTCTCCATCAGTACTTCCCATCACGACAGGCCCTTAGAATGTGTTTCAGCATACCTTTCCTTACACAAAGTGGGCATGATAGTGTTTCACTCATCCTACAAGCATGCAAATTTGCAGGACTCAGTAGTACATCATACATAGATTCTACAAGAAATTTAATTTAACTGGTGTCAGAGTGCCAGATCTCCACCTAGCTTATTTTTCATTGCAACAATATCCTAAAGAACATCTTACTATTGAGACAAGACACAAGAATGAAAAAAGTACTTGAAACACATAAATAATCAAAAGCATAAGACAACCAAAATCCCTCAAAAATTACCCATCAATGTCAAATTACCCACCGGTGTCAAGTTTCCGATGAGTTTCAAATTACCTGCACACCAAACCCAACACCAATGGTCAATAAGTGTGGTCACCTTAATTGTGAGATTTGCATTAAACTCATTAAAGACAATGTATAAATTTAAATCTGGACAAACTTTTTTGTAAAAAAATCATTTCACCTGTTCATTAAAAAATCTAATATATGCTATTAAATGTAAAGGGTGTGATGAAGATTACATCGGACAAATCAAACTCACCCTCAGGAATAGAATGACAATTCATCACCAACAAATACAAGACTTCACCACGACAGATTCCACTCAGTGGCTTTTAAACTTAAGTGCAATAAATGTGCCCCAAATTCCAAGTCTTTATCTTTTCCCAGATAATATCACAGACTAAACATGAATAAATAAAGGAAACATATTTGTTAAAAAATACAAAGTGTGTCTGAACAAACTCTAACAAGGTACATTTACCAAGGATTATTTACATAGACATAAGTACACACATAACATGCCTGTCCATTTTACTAATGGAATCATTATTATTATTACTATTATTATTTTTGTTGTTATTAAGGCAATAAACCATTATTCCTACACATACACTAAAAATTCTTGTGCACCTGGCTACTTATTGAATTATACACAGACACTTATTTACAATTCTTGTTTATTTTGCCATCATCTTTATTATTACTATTATTGTTTTTACTTGCTGTTTTGACATAGTAGGAAACACTAAAACTATTTTTGCACATACTCACACATATAAATGTAATCCTTGTACATTGAACATTTTGAGATTCCCACTAAGGTTCAATAAAATAGAACTCCTGACACTTGAACTACTTAACACTTTGTTGTCATTAGACATATTCACTGAACTGTGACGTTTTCAATTTGTGACAATAAAAATTTATAATCATTAATTTTGGGCTCAAAAATTACTATGCCTGATCCCATGATCATAATCAACCAATCAGATCGCATTTTCAACAGAGAGCAATCTGAGTCCTTTTTTTTGTATAAAACAGAAAGAATTTTCCAACTCCAGTTAGATGGAAGACATATCATGACACAACCACAAATCTCTCCATCTAAATTTAACTTTTGAAAATCAAAACTGTGAAACCAGTAAAGTTACTCTAAATAAACATTCTTAGAGACTCCAGGAGCATTTTTAACTTCTTTTTTCCTATATATATATATATATATATATATATATATATATATATGAAGAATATATAGAAAATAGGAAAGAACTCATTAGGTAAATAATCCAAAGTTCTTTAGTATTTTTGTTATTATTTTTAAAAAATAGTGCTCGATACAAAAGTAGAGCCTAAATATAATTATTTATTTAAAAATATGATTCCAACATGCTACATAAGAGTTTTTTTGGGAATTTTTTGGAATTCCCAAAAAAATTTTGCTTGAAGATGGAACAGAGCTTACTTTAATTCAGTTTAATTCAAATAATTATATTGAAGTTTTTTGGCTCTTTGTTTTGAAACATGAGAACTCTTATGTATCATGTTGGAATCATATTTTGAATAAATAATATATATATATATATATATATATATATATATATATATATATATATATATATATATACATACAGGGTGTCCATAAAGTTTTGTGCACTTTAAAAAATTTATGACTTTATTTGTATTTGCGATAGAAATAATTTGTAAAAGGAATTAGAAAGAAGTAAATCTATATTTTTTAAGGTTTTATTGAAATTTTACTTAAGTTTCCACATGTCCTCCATCATTAGCAATACAAAGGGTAATACGATTTTGCAGTTCACGGAAAACATTTGCCAACTGATTTACAGTAATGCCTGAAATCACATTAGTTATTTTAGCTATACTTAAAACTAAGTACATTAAACTTTATAACATTTTTTACAGATTATTTCTATTGCAAATACAGTTATAAATTTTTTAAGTGCACACGAACTTTATGGACACCCTGTATATATATATATATATATGTATATAAATAAAAAGAAAGAACAGTAAGATATAAAATCCGGTGTTCTTATAGATATTTTTATTTTTACAAAATAGTGCTCACTGTAAATTTACAGAGCATTAATATTATAAATTAATTGATTTAAAATATGTTTTTTTTCGCTACACAGTTCCAACCATGTTTCAAAAACATAAGGAAAATCTAGACATCCCTTGTTCAATTTAAGTAGAATATTCTGTAACCATGGAAACGTGATTTTAGCTGTGTCTTTAAAACCCGATAATTTTTAAAAGTTACTCCAAAATTCGCTTGAAGATGAAATGGAACTAATGCTTTTAATTTAATTGCAAAATTAAATTCAGGGTTTTTTGCTTCTATTTTTGAAACATGGTTGGAACTGTGTAGCGAAAAAAACATATTTTAAATCAATTAATTTATAATATATATATATATATATATATATATATATATATATATATATATATTACAGCTGTACTCTGTTTAGATTGACAATGGAGGAAAGCTTTTACAAAATGCTTGCAGAGCTGTGGGATAGTCATCTGAGTATTCCCTTTGGTAACCCCATTTTACACTTTTTCTTGGTTTGAAAATGGTAGTGTTTAATAATTAATTAAATCTTACCTCAATTCCATGACAATGTGAATTTTTTTCTGAGTGACATTTCTTGTCAATACAGGTTTTACAGATCAAGTTTTCCTCGAATATACGTGTATCTATTTCAGAAAACAAGAACATTGTTTAAAATTATTAACAGTTATGTGTTCAAAATAATCACAGATAAAAATTCAAATTTTGAAGCTGTCCGAACTTCAATCAACAACAAAACGGCTATCAATGTGATTGATATAAAATAATATGATATGATTTACATTACAAATTCTATTTTCGATCAATGCCTTTTGTTTTTGTGAGAAAATGACATGTGAAAGCACTATTTTCCTGCCAAAACAGATATGTGGCCCTTGTAGAATTTTTCTTTATCTCAGATTATTCTCTTTTAACCTCAAAGACAACTGGGAGAAAAAAAGTTTCTTTCTTAATTGTCATTGTTTTTAATGAAAAAATTGAATTATATGATTGGCTTACAGCCATATCACGTTGAAACACTGATTCTTGTGCAATCACTGTAGTTAAGCAACTTTGAACCTGGTCAGTACCTAGATGGGTGACTGCTTGGGAATACCAAATGCTGTAAGTTTGGTTGTGTGGATGGTGTGTGGCATATAGTAATATCACATTGAAACACAAGTTCCCATATGATCACCAAAGTTAAGTAACATCAGGCCTGGTCAATACCTATATGTGTGACTGCATATGAATACCAGGTGATGTAAGTTTGGATATGCAAGGGGTGTGGCTTATCAACATATCACATTGAAACACTGGTTCTTGTACGATCCCTAAAGTTAAGCAATGTCAAGCCAGGTTAATACCTAAATGTGTGACTATGCATGGTGTAATGGATAACAGCTTGAAATTGAAAATCAGAGAGCAGAGTTCCAATTCCAGTCATTCATTACATTCACTTATACACAATTACCCAGGGGAAAGGTATGATTCCACCTCTTCTTGCCCCACCTATGGGTTAATTAGTAGGATTTGCATCAGTAAATCATTATCATCTTCTAAAAATTCTTACAATCCAAAAATATTTTCTGGCTTTAAATAACTTGCAAAAGGGTTGATAAGCCATAAAAATATATCAATTAGTCTTAAACAGTGAAAACCACAAAAGCATAAATATAACAGATGCAAATAATCATATACTTATTATAAAACCCAGGTTGTGTGTGTGTGTGTGTGTGTCTGTTCATTTATATATTAGATCAGATTTCCTACATTTTTCAACCGATTTCAACAAAACTTCACAGGACTACGTAAAATTACCTTGCGGTGGTTCTGACAGTGCCAAAAATTGGAAAAACACAATTGTTTTTGAACGAAATCAATTTGAAAACACGATTAAGAGGCATCGCTAGAGTGAGAATGAAAGGGGGACAACTCATATCGAGTTATACTTATTATAAAACCCAGGTTGTGTGTGTGTGTGTGTGTGTGTGTGTGTGTGTGTGTGTGTGTGTGTGTGTGTGTTCGCTTATATATGGGATCAGATTTCCTACATTTTTCTACCGATTTCAACAAAACTTCACTTTTTTTTGGCAGGTAGTGTTTCTTATTGTCTTGCACACTTTTTTCTTTATTTTTACATTCAGAATGCTTTAAAAATTCCATTTACAAGACAATTGTTTATAATAAAATTCTATTCAATCGGTAGGCACATAACAATTGAAAACAAAGTTTTTGTTTGAGCTTGGGTTTGACCAATTCGTAAAAAAAACAAAAACTAATTAAGACATACGTGTCTGTCAACCTTAAACAATAATCTTTGTCAATTTTATTTTTCAGTCTTTATGATGGTTGATACTTGATCTATCTCTTACTGTTACATGCCCGGGCAATGCTGGGCTCTACTACTAGTATTTAATAAATGAAGACAATATCTACTGCAATAATTAAATAATCCTTCCAGATTTTCTGTTAAAGAAATGTATATAAATGAATGCCAAATTAAAAACGATACTTACCTCTGCAGTCACCAAATTCATACAGAGGCATATCACGTAAAGGTTTTTTATTTAGTTTACAAATGCCCCCCAAAGAAACACTTTTTTTATCGTATCTTTTGATATATTCTATAAAGCCTCTCATCTCACAGTTACACTTTAAAGGGTTCTTCTCCATCTGGCTAGAAAAGAGAAAAATTGAAAACAAAAAATTATTAGTTATGTATTTCTTAGGCTCAATTCTAAAATAATAATAATAATAATAATAATAATAATATATATATATATATATATATATATATATATATAAGATTTAACAAACAGATATATTTTATATACAGTGCTCAATATTAAAAATATCAAAATAATATTAAAGATAGAGCATTAATAATATTATATGAAAAGATTACTTAACTTTTAAATATCAATTTTATCCCAGCATCAATGTTTCTTGGTAAAATTTCCAGTTTTCAGGGATTGTGGCTTTAAATGGTATTTCCAAATTTTTTTAAAAAGTTTGGAAAAAATTTTACCAAGAAACATTGATGTTGGGATAAAATTGATATTTAAAAGTTAAGTAATCTTTTCATATGATGTTATATGGGAGATAACTCCAAACGGAACATGAATTAGCTCTGTTTTTCGAACATGGTTAATTGAAATACCATACAATCATGTAATTTCAATCCATACTGAACCCAACTAAGTTAACATCCATTTGTACATATTCTTAATAAATTTCATTCTGTTATGTGGAGTATCTCTATGTCATCATCATTTCATTTTTATATTAATAACTGTATTAATCACACACACTTTAGAAGTGACATTATTCGACCACAAGTGGCCATTTTCACATAACACATGGATGATACTTATTTTGGGTTATGACCTTGTTTGTCATTAGGATTAATTCACATCACATATCAGAGTGATGACGAGGTCATAATAGTATTTGTTACAGTAAATAAAACAATATAGTTAAGATTTTAAAAGACTTTAATAACAAAAGAAAACAAAAAGGAAAACAATCTAGAGACATTTTTTAAAATTTTGTTTACTAAAAATAACCAGTCAGTATTCTAAAATAGTCAGAACTATGAGGCTTACAGCCATGTCACATATTGGGAATACAAGGTGCTGTAAATGTGGATGTGTGGGTGGTGTAATGAATAATGACTCGGAATTGAAAATCGGAGACTAGAGTTCAAATTCCAGTCAGGTTTGTTACATTAAGTTATGGGCAAATACCCATGGGGAAGATATGAAGTCACCTTTTCTCCACCCAGTTATCGGTTAATTAGTAGAACTTATATCAGTAAAAATCATTATTATCTCCCAAAAAATGCTTACAATCTAAAAATATTTTCTGGCTTTAAATAACCATCAAAAGGTTGATAAACTATAAAAAACAAATCAATCAATCAATCAGAATTATGAATGTAGGTTCCAAAGGAGAATAGGGTGCATTCAACCTACCAGTTCCATATGATCCTGCAAGTCACAGAATAAGTGAGGACTCAACCAGAGACCTGCCTACACTCAACTCTGTTTCTCATATCATCTTTGAGAACTTTTTTCACAGAAATTTCTGAAAACATTCCATAGAATACTGAACGTGCTGACAAGAACATTTTCTACACATCAGTCTCAATACGAACAACATTTATTTCTGGTAACATTTCTAATTCTGTTGTTTTTTTGAACAGGAGTAGAAGCTTATCCCTTGTTTCCTGTTTACAACTGGGTTTCCAGTTCCTTCTCCTAAAGTCTTCTCATTTTCTTTCACTCCCAGTAGACCCTTGCGTCTTAGTGGCTTTATTGCCTTGTTTGGGGTGAAATGATTAAGAAAAAGGAAACATTATTCTTATTTGTTATAAAAAGAAAAGTTTCAACAACAACATTTCAAACAGTATAAAACATTGTTTTTTAGTGTTAATATGTTGCTAATATTAAAATTAGTATTAAAATGATATACTAGTTACCAACAATCAGTTTCTGTCTATTGACTTTTCTGTATTTCACTAGTTGTTTTTTTTTTCTAAGTGAAAGAGAAGAGAAAAGGTCTTCATCATGTACTCTGTTCATATGTATGCTCTTCAACATAGTGATTGATTGAATTATTATCATTACAAGTTAAGCATATCAGGAGGTGCAGATGGTGTAATGGATATCAGTGTGGAAAATGAATTAAACATGCAGAGTTCAATTCTCACTCGGTTCTGTTTTGCCCACTTTACACTAATGTCCTTGGAAAAGGCATGAATCCATCTTCCTCTAGAAATGGGTTAAATAACAGAACAGATTGAGCTCTCTCTAGAGTTGGCATCCAGTCTAAGAGAATGAAAATTCTGAATGCCAAAACCAACCTGAAGAGAGTGGGGCTTCATTAGGCCATCATGCCATAGACACACCACTGTTGCTATGGCTGCAGTAAATGTGGGCTCCTTTATGATTCTAATGAGTTATGGGATACAGAAAAAAGAAAGCATATCATTTATATTGTAGTTATAATTTCTGTTCAATGAAACATGGCATAGTTAAACACATTACAAGTTCTTTTCTATAACTTTTTTAATACTTACATTTCTTTTAGATTAGGCAAAAACAAAAAAGCATCTCTTTTTATTTCTTCGATAGAGTTATTTCTAAGTTCTCTGCAATATAAACATATCAGTGTTAGTTGGGCAATGATTTTACGCTTAAGAAAATCATCGATAGTTTCATAAGCTAAAGTAAAAAGTAATATTTGTCCTCAATATAATATAATTTCAGAGATAAATATACAATGCTATCCACAAGGAAACTTTATACTTATTTCAAACAAAAATAAACTTAACAAAAATGAATAGAAATACATAATTTATCAATTTATAATCAAATGTATTTTCTTTGTTTAATGAATAAATTAAATTATAATCTGTTCAAATCATATGAAATTGTGTTCATTCTTATTTTCTTGTGAAAATGACGATGAGATTTAGACTAATAAATCCATAAAATTGTTTTTATAAAGTGCTTAACAGTTTAAAATTTTTATTTCTTTTGAGGTAAGCAAAGCAACCGATTTGTTCAGAGCAATAGTATGCAGAAGCGGGGGTTGAGAGAGAGGGTGTGACAGCCCCAGAATTCATATTGGGAAGGTATCCAATCAAAGAGTAAAATAAAATATTTAATTTGAATAAAGTGTTTATTTCATGTTCCATCAATTTTTTTTTTTTTCACACATTTAAAATGTCTTCCTTTCTCACCTTTCTCAGTACTAGGCCCTATGGGTCCCTACCCCCTACTTGAGTCTTAAGAGCATACAATCAAGGACTTGGCCCCAGGTATCACCAAATATCACCAAACCTCTGCACATCACTGGTTCAGAGAAATCATTAATGTTTGGCACTTGAACTTGTAAAGCAATTAAAATGAAATGTTTACTAAGCATACCTTAAACTGGCACAGGGCCAGTCAGGACATTTGGATTATGAAATTTTATGTGAAAATGGTTAGGACAGGTGTAATAGTATATACAATGATACATTCATTGAAGATAAAGATTTTACAAAACAGGTGCAATTAGCATTTAATAAAATGATACACATCAACAAGTGTTTTCTACTTATAAAAACTTTGCAAATAT